GTCTAGTTCTAGCGTTTCGAAGGGCTAGTTCCGGCTTTACAGGCAATCTGCACTAAGTCACTGTAAATGGTGCTAGTCCGGTGTTTGAAGGGCAGTCTGGCATTGAAGTCACTGGAATTGGCCCGAGTCCGGCTTTACGAAGGGGCAGTCCGACACTTCAAGCAGCCAGTCCGGTAGTTCCAGGAGGCAGTCCGGCACTGAGGTCACTGCAACTCACCAGTCCGGTGTTTGGATGGGGCAATCCGGCACTAAAGTCACTGTAAATAGTGCAGTCCGTCGTTTGGAAGGGGCAGTCCGGCATTGAAGTGTAATAATCCTCAAATTTCAAAAAAAAAAAAAAAGAAAAAGAAGAAAAGAAACTTTTAAATAAGTGATGGTTCGTATGAGCATGATAGTCCTTAAGGACCATCACTATTTTCAAAAGCTTTTAAATGGTTTAAGCTTTTGCTCTTGCCACGTCCTTTAGTGGACGTGGGCTTTAAACGTTTAAGATGTAATATAACTGTTACACCTCATGTGTGAGGTGTAACTTAATAGAAGAATATAATAAGGTGTCGTAAGAATTTAAATAGGAGAAGTGAGGACTCCCACCCTAGAAAATTTTGAGATCTCTCTCTCTCTCTCGTTTAAACGCAGTGAGCTCGTTCTCTCTCTAGCCGAATTTTTATCGGAAGCTTCCTCACAAATATTTTAGGTAAGTGACTTTATTATCTTGAAAAATAATCCGTTCTTTTAAAAAATGAAATGAAATAATTACTTCTGCTTATTATCATGAATTTTAGGCGTGATAAATTTTATGCGCAAGCGACCTCATTAATTTGAAAAATAATCTTTTTAATAAAAATTGTGATATTTTATCTATGTTAGAAATTTTAAATGCTGTAAATTTTTAGAAATAAATTTATTTATTTTTCTTGTCTATTGTTAGAAAATTTTAGATATTGTAAAATTATTAGAAATAAATGTGATATTTCTGCTGTTAATAAAATTGTGAGATTTCTTTCTACTGTTTTTTAATATTTAGACATTGTAAATTTCATGTGCAAATGACTGCTTTATTATTTGAAAACTGATGTTTTTGCAATTGATTATAGCATTGTCTGTAAAATATTTATTTACGAATTGACATTCCATAAATTGTGATGGTATTCTTGAATTACTATAAGAGTTTTTCTATACATATTAGATTGGCAATTATGCTAAAATGTCTTTACGAAATACTACCTTTCTAAATTTGAGCCCAAAATATTTGACTGGGTATTTTTTAAATGTTATTGAAAGTGACTGTTATTAATGGTTTAAGTGAAATTCATATTAATAATTTCAGTGATATGTTGAGTACATAATATTGCTGCTTTCGAATGCTTAAAGAGATTTAGAAATACTTTAAGTGTGCAAGTGGACTCATCCAGTTCGCCGGTGAGATATAAGTGGACCTATCTGAGATGCCGGTAAGGATTAAGATGACTCATCTGGTATGCCGGTGAGGTATAAGTGGACCTGCAGGGATTAAGTGGACCTATCTAGGACGTCGATAAGGATTAAGTGAACCCATCAGGACGCTGATGGGGTATATAGGTGACCTACTTGAGACGTCAGTAGGGTATTTTGTGAAATCTTTTGAATTATGCATTGATGTTAAAATTTGATATGCATTTCAATTATTCGGATTATACTTAATTATGCATTTTTGAAAGTGAAACTGTTAATGCATTTCTGTTAATATATCTCCTTTTTGAAAATATTGATATCTTTCAATCATGATTATTTTTATGATTATAATGATCATTTCCTGAGTAGCCAAACTCATCAAATTATGGTAAACATTTTTTTCAGGATAATTGCGGTTTCATTTTGA